AGGAGGCTAAAGTGGGAGGATCACTTGATCCCAGGAGGTTAAGGCTGCAGTCAGCTGTGATCTGTGAGCTGTGATCATGCCACTGTACTCCAGCCTGGGCAGCAGGGCAAGACTTCATCTGTTTTGTTCTGTTTTGTTTTGTTTTTGAATTGGAGTCTCACTCTGTTGCCCAGACTGGAGTGCCATGGCGTGATCTCAGCTCACTGCAACCTCCACTTCCCAGCTTCAGGCCATTTTCCTGCGTCAGCCTCCTGAGTAGCTGGGATTATAGACACCCACCATTTTTGTATTTTTAGTAGAGATGAGGTTGGCCAGGCTAGTCTTGAACTCCTAACCTCAAGTGATCCACCTGCCTTGGCCTCCCAAAGGGATTACAGCCATGAGCCACTATGCCCAGCCTGTTTTTTTTTTTTTTTTTTTAGTACAATCTGTAAGAAGAAAAAGTAGATAGATTTGACTGTATCAAAATTGAAAATTTCTGTTTGACCAAGGACACCATATAGATAAAAGGTAGGTGATATACTAGAAGAAAATGTTTGCAATATCTAAAACCACTGTGATGAATAACTAGAATAAAGTAATGAATGTCTAAAAATCAGCAAAACACTCACTAGAAAACATGAAGCTGGTAGAAGTTTGCAGCAGCTGGAAGAAGGTAAAGCCTGCGTGGCTAACACACACGAGAGGGGAGGCCAACCTCACTAATGCCATTGCCACCCATGGTTGGCTCTGGCTGCACAAAGCTGGACAAAGATTTTGGCTCTGCATCCTCTAGTACAAGGCAAAGAAGTTGTGAGGGTTGGGGATAGCTAATCCACTGGCTGCCACATGTATACATAGTATTATTTAAAAAACAACAGGTCAGGCGCAGTGGCTCACGCCTGTAATCCCAGCACCTTGGGAGGCTGAGGTGGGTTGATCATGAGGTCAGGAGTTCAAGACCAGCCTGGTGATGGTGAAAGTTTATCTCTACTAAAAATACAAAAATTAGCTGAGCATGGTGGTGGGTGCCTGTAATCCCAACTACTCAGGAGGGATTGCTTGAACTCAGGACATGGAGGTTGCAGTGATCTGAGTACGCCACTGCTTTCCAGCCTGGGTGACACAGCAAGACTGTCTCAAAAACAAACAAACAAACATGACAGTTCATTTCCCCAGCATAAGAAACCAATGATGTCAAAGTTAAGGTTATGAAAGTTAGTTTGCTCTGTCCTGCAGCCATGACCAAATGCCTCATACAAGGCAACCATCTTACTAATGTGGGGAACTGCCAAGAAAGAGCTGCAAAAGCTTCTATCTGCTGTGTGTGGCCATCACGTGCCAATCTTCTGGCACATGCTCTGGTGGATGGATAGGATCATTTTCTCTTTTCATTGCCATTCTGTCCTTGGGAACCCACTCTAGTGTATTAATGAATACCATTCCAATTTACCTTTCATATGTTTGGATTCATATGTATCCTTAGGACATAAATAGTATTTTGTATATGTTTAATTTACCTAAGTGGGATTGTGCTATAAAGCCCATTGTTTCTTTTGTAACTCACATTGTGTTATTTATTTTAAAAATAGAGACAGGGTCTCACTATGTTGCCCAGCCTGGTCTCGAACTCCTGGGTTCAAGTGATCCTCCTACCTCAGCCTCCCAAAATAATGGGATTACAGCAATGAGCCACCACACCTGGCCTCACATTATGTTTTTAACATCTACCCATGGTGCTCCATTCAGTTAATTGCTTTTGACTGACGCATAGTTTTGCATTATATGCCTATACTATATATTCATTCCCCTAAGTACAGACCACTCAAATTGTGTATAGCTCCTTCCTACTGAATAATGGTATTTATTAATAACTATGCCATTGTTAGGTATGTCTAACAATTATATATCTAACATGACATTGTCAGAACATCCTAGAATGACTTACACAAACCTAGATGGTACAGCTTACTACATACACAGGCTGTATGGCATAGCCTGTTGCTCCTGGGTTACACACCTGTACGATATATTTCTGTATATTGAATGCTAGGAGTAATTAGAACACAACAGTAAGTACTTGTGTGTCTAAACATAACAGAAAAGAAACAGTAAAAACACAATATTATATTCTTGTAGGGCCATGATTGTATATATGGTCTGTTGTTGTTCAAAACATCATTATGTGGTACATGACAGAAAAAGCAGCACAGCTGCTAATTTAGAATAAGGGTTATGAAAATTTGCTCTGAAGAGGTGAAATGTAAGCCAGTCTCAAAGATGACAATACACCAACCAGGTGGAGAGCAGTGGGCAGTCGGTGGGGCAGGAAGAGCATTCTGGGCAGAGAGAACAGCATTGTGCAAAGACCCAGGGATGAGAGAGAATGAAGCAAAGGCAGGCACTGAAAGAAGGTCGTTGAGCTGGTGCAAAGGGAAACGTTGCGGAAGGTGCAGCCAGACAGATAGTCGGGGGAAAGAGCAACCTGGCTTGTTAAGTATTTTGGATTTTACACTGTATATAATGCAGGGTCACTGGAGGGATTACAAGACTTTAGCTCCTAGGTAAAGAACACTTTGAGAAGGTAATAAGAGATTAATTCAGTTGTTGTAGAAGTCAAAGTGAGAGTTGATGGTGGCTTGGACTAGAGTTATAAGGGAATGGGTAGAAAGCAGTAGAGGAATTTTAAGTATATTCTGGAGATGAAATCAACAGAACTTGTAAATAATTGGATGCTGAGGATGCAGAAGAGGGAGGTGTCCAGAATGACTCCCAGGTTTCTCGTATGAAGAGTTGGGTAGAAAGAGATGCCATTTCCTAAAATGGAGACTATTGAGAGAAAAGCAAATTATGGGAGGAAGAGTTAGAGTTCTCTTTAAACTATGTTAAGTTAGAGACATCCAAATATAGGTGGCAAACAGATAATATGGATCTGGAGTTCAGAAGAGAATCTGATTAAAACTACTTGTTTGTAATTAATTTGTAAGTAGGTGATATTAAAAGCTGTGGAAACCAGTAGGTAGGTTAGGTAGTGAATGTACACGCAGTGAGGAGAAATGAGGGCTTAGAATGGAAAATGGAGGACCTCCAACATTTAGAGGTCAAATAAAGGAGGAGGAATCAGCAAATCTGACTGAGGAGTGGTCAGACATGTAGAAGACAACATGAAGAGTGTGGTGTCACAGAGGTCAAGATGAAGCTACGATAGGTCAAAAAGGATGGAAATCATTGGGGGCATGGATTGGGCAACATGGAGGTCACCAAAGACTTTTCTGATAGCTGTTTTGGAGCATGGAAGTCAATGTTGAAATGGGTTGAAAAGAAGGTATTTATATTTCTGGCAATATGTGGGATTAATTATCCTGGAAAATCTTTCTATGTACAGTACCTGGAAATGTTGGATAAATATAAGAAATCATTTATTAATGCATAGCTGAGTACCCACGAAAATAAAGGAAATCTCTAGGAGTGGAAAAAAAAAAAGAGATACCTTGAAACCTCAGAAATTTAGCAGATTCTGAAACTAGAATTGCCATAGAGGCATTTGCCAGTCTTAGAAACTGAGACACTTAAGTTTAACAGCTGTTCAAGAAGAGACAGAAAGCCCTTGGGACCTTAAAAGGCAGGGAGTTAGAACTAAGACCCTTCCAAATACAGTTGGAATCCTTGAAGGGTGACACAGTGAGTGAAAAATTGGAATAGGAAGAATCTGCTACCTTGTGAAAGGAGATGACAAAGTTCTCTCTCTTGATCTGGGTGGGAAAAACTAAAGCCTGTTCCTTAGAATTGAAAACCACATGTCCTCTCACATGTATTTGGGGTTCAAAACTGCACCACCTACATGTTGTATATAATCCCTGGATAAGAAATTACACTGTATGCAATTTGATAGTGTACAAGAACATCTTTTGGAAACAAAGCAAATCCTCTTTGGAAGGACACATCCTCTATAAAGGCATTCCAAGTCACACCAGATATGAGCTCACAATCTAAAATTACAAGATACAACAGGTAATGCCACTCTGAGTTCTTAACAACAACACTGAAACTATAGATTTCTCAAAAGCATTCGGAATTGGAATCATTAGTTATAGAATACTAAATAAGTATGTTTAACACGTTTAAAGAAATAAAAGGTAGGGGGAAAAGCAGAAAAGCTTGGAAAAGAACAAAATAGTGTTTCTAGTAATAACATAGAAGTATTTAAGTGGATATTTCCATGATGCTTAAACAGCAGACTACATACAACTGAAGAGAGGACTTGGCGGTAATCTGGCATCACCCAGAAAGACACATGGCTTAAGAGACATGGAGGACGGAGTGAGAAGGTTCACCACGTGTCTAAATGAAGAGAATCAGGAGACAGGTTGGAAAACATATTCCGAGGAAGTGCCTGAGAGGCTTCTGGAGATCATGAAAAGCATGACTTCTGATTTGGGAATTATAGTGTATCCTGGGTAAGATTATTAAAGAGAAATCTACCCCTGGACACACAGTGGTGGGATCACAGGGCACTAGGGACAGAGACTTTTACAGCCGCCATAAGAAAAGACAGACGAGCAGCACTTAACCCAGCTGTGGAATTCTCAATGGGAACCAGAGGACAGCAGAATCATGCCTTTAAAGCATGGCCAGAACAGAGCTGTCGACCTCGAATGCTGCCCCAGCTAAAACAACGTCCACTGCCTTCCACCAACGAGTTCCCACTGAAGGGGTATCTGGACATCCAAGGATGTATGTGAGGGTGAGGAGAGCTGAGGGTGCCCTCAGAAAGGATGCACATCTGAGATGTCAGGAGACTTGGGGAGCAAAGAATTAGATGGGTAAAGCTGGGCAAATACGTAAAATGGTGGTAATAAAGGGTTGAATTTGGCCGGCTATAGACCACTTGAGCCATGCCCACTCACGTCTGGAGCCCACCGCGCAGCTGGGGGGCCCAGCCCAGAAAGCCGTGGCTCCCGTGAACCCTTGCGCCAGCTGCCGGTGCGCAGACGCCCGCGCGTGTGCGGTCGGTTCTGGAACGCGGCCAGCGAGGGGCCTGGCGCCATGTTGGGGCCGAGGGGAACTAGGGGAAGCGCTTGAAGCCGCAGGGCGCACAGCGGGAGCGGGAGTGGGGTCAAGACCAGGGCTGCTAGGAGCCCTTCTCTTCCCGCCTCATTGGATCATGACCCGGTCGGGGTGGTGGGGGACGTGCCCTGGCGGGGCGGGCGCTGAAAGATAATGCCGTTTCCGGTGACAGCCCAGGGAACACAGCAGCCAGCGAAGCGCTACGGCATCTCCTCGCCGATCAGCTTAGCGGTCCCCAAGGAGACGGACTGCCTCCTCACCCAGAGGCTAATAGAAACCCTCAGGCCCTTCGGGGTCTTCGAAGAGGAAGAGGAACTGCAGCGCAGGATTTTAGTTTTGGAAAAATTAAATAATCTGGTAAAGGAATGGATACGCGAAATCAGTGAAAGCAAGAGTCTTCCGCAATCTATACTTGAAAACGTTGGAGGAAAGATTTTTACATTTGGCTCTTACAGATTAGGAGTGCATACGAAAGGCGCAGATATTGATGCCTTGTGCATTGCACCAAGGCATGTGGATCGAAGTGACTTTTTCACCTCCTTCTATGCTAAGCTGAAACTACAGGAGGAAGTAAAAGATTTAAGGGCCGTCGAGGAGGCATTTGTGCCAGTTATCAAACTGTGTTTTGATGGGATAGAGATTGATATTTTGTTTGCAAGATTAGCACTACAGACTATTCCAGAAGACTTGGACCTAAGAGATGACAGTCTACTTAAAAATTTAGACATTAGATGCATAAGAAGCCTCAACGGTTGCCGGGTAACTGATGAAATTTTACATCTAGTGCCAAACATTGACAACTTCAGGTTGACTCTGAGAGCCATCAAATTGTGGGCCAAATGCCACAATATCTATTCCAATATACTAGGTTTCCTCGGAGGTGTTTCCTGGGCCATGCTAGTAGCAAGAACTTGTCAGCTTTATCCAAATGCAGTAGCGTCAACTCTTGTACGGAAATTCTTCCTGGTATTTTCTGAATGGGAATGGCCAAATCCAGTGTTACTGAAAGAGCCCGAAGAACGGAATCTTAATTTGCCTGTATGGGACCCAAGAGTAAATCCCAGTGATAGGTACCATCTTATGCCTATCATCACACCAGCATACCCACAGCAGAACTCCACATACAACGTGTCTGTTTCAACCAGGATGGTCATGATTGAGGAGTTTAAACAGGGACTTGCTATCACACACGAAATTTTGCTGAGCAAGGCAGAGTGGTCCAAACTCTTTGAAGCTCCAAGCTTCTTTCAAAAGTACAAGCATTATATTGTACTTCTGGCAAGTGCACCAACAGAAAAACAACATTTAGAATGGGTGGGCTTGGTGGAATCAAAGATCCGGATCCTGGTTGGGAGCTTGGAGAAGAATGAATTTATTACACTGGCACATGTGAATCCACAGTCATTTCCAGCACCCAAAGAAAATCCTGATAAGGAAGAATTTCGTACAATGTGGGTGATTGGGTTAGTGCTAAAGAAGCCAGAAAACTCTGAAATTCTCAGTATTGATCTCACCTATGATATCCAGTCTTTCACAGATACTGTTTATAGGCAAGCAATGAATAGTAAGATGTTTGAGACGGGTATGAAAATTGCTGCAATGCATTTAAGAAGAAAGGAACTTCATCAGCTGCTGCCTCATCATGTGCTTCAGGAAAAGAAAGCACACTCAACAGAAGGTAGAAGATTGACAGATTTGAATGACAGCAGCTTTGACTTGTCTGCAGGTGGTGAAAACAGCATTTCTGTGCCTTCCTCTACTAGCACTATGAAGACAGGCCCATTGATTAGTAGTTCTCAGGGTAGAAACAGTCCTGCCCTGGCTGTAATGACAGCATCTGTGGCGAACATACAGGCTACTGAAATTTCCTTGCAACAGGTGAATACCAGTGAAAGTTCAGGGGCTGCATTAAACGAAAGTATTCCTCACGCTGTCTCTCAGCCTGCCATTGCTCCATCACCAAAGCCCATGGTCACCAGAGTTGTTTCTTCAACATGTCTCATAAGCCATCCAGACCTTCAGGAAACGCAGCAACAAACATATCTAATCCTATAGTTGGAGTCTAGAGGATATTCTTGCTTCATAAAGAAGAAAGGACCAAGAAAACCTAAACAGGAAAAACTCAACACAAAGACAAGTACAACTCCATTAGAAACAATTCAGACAGCATCTTCTCTGTTGGCCTCTCAGGGAACTTCAGTACAGATCTTTCCAGTATCCCTGTTCTCCCTGCAAATCTAATTCCTATTATCAAGAATTCAATAAAACAGGTTGAGTGGATAAAAACAACCACAAGCGTCCGTCAACAGTATCTGCTAACTCAGCCTGTTGTCTTCAAATACTAAAGAAGGAGAATGAAGGATACAGGACTAGATATGACTTGAAATGGATTTAGGCTCATTTAGTGACTTCCTTTACTGGGCTAGTCTTGATCAGAAGTCCAAATTAGTATGTGACAGCTAGAGGTACTGTTATTAATGTGTCAGCAACAGTTACATTGACTATTTCAGAACTGCCCTTAAAAAGAAAAAACTTTCCAGCTATATTTATATCCGTGACTGACATCTGGACTGGATTTATGTTTGATGCATTGTTGGGAAAATTTGAATACAAACTGGTATCAGAATTCCTTACACTGATGATGCACTTTATATTTTTTGTTAGAAAGTAGAACTAATTTTAGATTTTTCAAATTGGTGAATTTTTTTTTTTCCTGAAGAGGTTTCTTCATCCAATCTTAAAATTGGATACCATTGTGCAGTGGTGTACTGTACTTCAGAGAAAGCAAAAAGTACATCTGGGTCAGTCCCTATGAGGTAGCTGTAACCCTTTAAAATGAAATGTCAACTTTTAGGTACGTAATTGACATCAAAACAATCATCAGGAAAGGTGTTTGGTTTTGATGGCACACCATGGAGAAATGACACACTGGTTTTATCTGTAGAACTGTTTTAGAGAGTAATCAGCAATCAAATATTTTCTCTGAGCTGAGAAAACTCCATATTGTCTTGTCCTCAATCATTAGTCCTAAAACAAAAAGGCTTTTTGCCTCCCCCTTCTCTTTGCTTGTATGCACAGAATATGCTTATGTGTCACTACACACACACACACACACACACACACACACACACACACACACACGAATAATTTTCTAGGCCGGGCGTGGTGGCTCAAGCCTGTAATCCCAGCACTT